ACAGGAGCAGAGTAAAGGTGGCCGGGGAAGGGGGGTGCACAGTGTAACTCGGGGGTGGGCAACTCCGGCCCTCCAGCTGTGCTTTACCCACAAATCCCAGCATGCCTCTGCACATGGAAGTCATGCCTGTAACTGCCAGTCTTGCCATGCCTCATGGGACTTGTAGTTCCGCAACAGCTGGAGGGCCGGGGTATACGCTGGTTAGGTGACGGTCTGTCACTTTGCCCATTCATTCTCTATTACCGCGCACCTAAATTATACCTTTGCAGGGGGTAACCAAACTTCAGCCCTCCCAGCGGCTGTGGAACTACATAAGGCACTGCAAGAGTCTGACAGCCAGTGGCGTAACAATAGCCATAGCGACCCAGGCGGCCGTTATGGGGCCCGGGCACAGCCAGGACACCCCCCTGATGCCGTGCGGGCCGCCTGGGTCGCTATGGGTTCGAACGCACCGCTGTTCAGATCACTGTTATCTGTGCAGCGCTACGTTCTTCTCCATTGCCGCTGCTGAGTCAGTGAGAGTCAGCAGCGGGGGTGGAGGAGGCTGGATATGGCTGGGAGGAGGAGGCGGGGCAGGGGTCAGCATTAGTATTTTGCTATGGGGCCCTGTGATTTCTAGTTACGCCCCTGCTGACAGCCACACGCATGACTGCCAGTGGCAGATGCATGATGGGATTTGTCATTTCAGCACAGGGACGAATTGTGGCTCCCCATGCTATACCTCTAGTATGTCACCAGCATCATGCATTATGGTGCAGTCACTAGAGGCGTTCCGTAGGGATTACAAAACATGCCCAGAGAGATTTTACACCTCAGTAGTATTAAAGGGGCATCTGGAGAGAGAAAAAAAATCAGGGTGGCAAGGGAACATTCCGCAAGTTTTACCATGAACCGGCCACTGAAGATACTAAAGCAGAAGCAAGGCTGCAGTTCCCGGATTCTGCCACACGGTGGCGGCAGAGGTTCATTATAGATCTATAGACATCTCTGCAGGGGGGGTGGAGAAGGAAGGAATGCAGGAGACGGATCTCCGCTGTATATAGATGGCTGCTTCACCACAAAACAGCTCAGGAGGAGCACAACGGGCATCCGAAACTCTGGTATTCTGCTAAATTGCAGAAAGGTAAATGGCTCACGATACCCTCCCCTCCCCCGTATTCATAACATACATTCTACTGGACGCATATATGAATGTTCACGTGTGCCAGCATTCGGATATTGTACAGGATCCCAAATACTTTCCTTCCGAAGACAGCTGGAGTGTTCCCTGTTGAGCATCGCGGATCATCAATGTGACACTAAGTCGATACATATACATTTTGGTATGGGGGGCAGAGGGAGGAAAGTGTTTTTCAATGATCACGGCTGCCGCAGTGGTATCATTTTTTTTTTTACAGCCAGCGATGGCTGCCGGCTACAGAGCCGCCCGCTCACTTCTTTGGTGCTGAGGGCGGGGAAGAGTGTGCGCCCCCCTCCGCCGCCGGCTATCCCGGGCTCTGCTGTCCCCTGGGGTCCATATACCTCAATCAGAGGGAGATCAGCAGCACACTTCCACCGCCTGATCTCCCCTACGATCGCTGAAAGCGGAAGCGCCACGTGTCACATCACTTCCAGGTTCAGTCTGTCATTTCTCTGGTAAAGCACGATCTGGGTTTCATCAGCTTCTTTGGGGCACCTTTGTGCGCTTACGTGCGGAAACGACAACTGCACCACACATGTCCCAATCACCGCGAACGTCGGAGGGCAATGTTGGGTATTGTATTTTTTTGCGGGTTTCGTGGCCATACGCAATTTTAAGGCTTCACATATTTGGTGTCTATTCACCCGACAAATGTATTCCGGAATCCTGTTGCACTCCTTACCGGGGATCCCTGTCGGCGCCGGTGCTCGAAATGATCGCCGCGGATGGCGCGGCCAATACGGAAACTTGTTAAAGATGTCACCGGCGCACCATAGTGAAGTGAAGAACACGTCTGTTTATCGACGCTTCATGTCAAAACAAACAGCAACGTTTGCCACGCGATATCGTGAGAAGTCGCCGTCCAATGATTTTCAATGGAGCTGTTCTATTGTACAGCTCCATGTCGCCTGTCGCTCGTCGCTGTCGCTTGCGCAGGACCCTTTTCGCCACGGATGTCGCGCAATTTTTCTATTTTTGCATGCAGCCCGACGGTGAAGGTCGCGCGATCGGCACCCGAACAGTCGCGGAAATCCACCCGAGGTAAGTGACGCTTAGTCCCCATTCACACTGAGCGATTTACCGCGCGATATCGCTCTCCAATGCATGGCAATGGGGCTCTGTCCGTTGCTGTCGCGGGTCGCTACGGCCTCATTGTATTTTATCCTGAAAATTCCGGTTTGATAAAACATTTACAATGTAAAACAATTGTCTCGGGAATGCCGGATTTTGGCCGTGGTGTAAATATTTAGAATGATTAATAACATAATATTTAATTTTTTTTTGGGGGGGGGGCGCATTCGCTCGGCGGAAGATTCCAGCGTCCTGCGGGGTTAATCCGGCCCAGAATCTCCGGGGGGTCCCTGCGGCCTGAACTCTCTATTATTGAACAAAGTTCTCGGCCTGAAACGATGTAACCAAAACGCAGATCGTGCCGACTCCACAAACACACCGCGCGCGGATCTGCGGCGAGCGTCGGCTGGCGCGTGCTGCACAAGAAATATACTTTGATGGGAGCGCGGCGTTCAGGAGTTAATGTGAACATATGGCGGGTTTCCCGCTTGTCCCCGCCGCCCCCCTTTCCGGTGGGGAGGGGGGGGGGTGCGCGGTACACCGCGTACATGAACAGGCTGGAAACCTACGCAGCCAGGTGATCGCTTTTCACCGACCGCGTCCCTGCGCCAAAGTGATGAGATACATCGCCGGCATCAACGACAAGCTCCTTTTATTGAACGATCACCTACATAAGAAGTGTTCCGGGGCCTCGCAGGGGCCCTTCATCAGGCATGTGACGTCTAAAGAAGGGTCCCCGTGAGGTCCAAAAACGTTGATTCTTATTTTGGAGGAAGTCGGCGCGCTGGCGGCGTGTCTTATCCACGTCCAGAATCGTTGCAGCGCCCAATGATCTATACGGATGATCCCAGCATGGGGAGTAAGAGGAACTTCATGTCTGCCCTAAAGGGGGCCCCTGGGGCCCTGAGAGAGAAAGAAGGAGTTTAGGTACCTGCCGTTACCGGTGTGTGAAATCAGCAATAAATGTAACAATTCCCACATTCCATCCATTAATCATTCACCTCAGATGAGGATCTGTACCGGCACACCGCGGCAGCGTGCGCCGTCTGATCTGTGCCGGGCCATGAGAGCCCAGAGAAAGTTCTCAATGGATGGCAAAACACAGAGGGACTGACGCGGCCGCACTTCATCCAAAACTGGCCACGTTTAACCACTTCAGTACCTGGTCACCTTTCAGAGCTGCTGACCGACCATGACTCCCGTCATGAAACATTGTAGCCGCATTGACGTTTTGTGACAATGAGACTGTCACAGGTCGGTTCAGTAGATCGGGAGGTGAGAGGACACATACCGGCGCTCGCTCACTTCTCGACAGGGGAGGGGCTGGATTCTCCCCTCCTCCATCGCTGACTGGCGGAACGAACGGGGGAGGGGGCGGGTATCACTAGGTGTATTTTGTTTTATTTTGTATAAAGGGAGAATAAAAATCCAGCCGAGAAAAAAAAAAACCGAGCGCACAAGAAAGGCAACTAGCGACTACTTCCTGTACGCGAGTCCTAAAGCAATGTTTAGAGGGCTGTGACAGGTGCCCTTTAAGAGCAGGTTTGCTGTAAATATGGCCGATCGCTCACACGGGACGCAGAATGGCATCAGATCATCAACAACTGCGTCTTTAAACATTTCATCGCATTGCCGACAGACTTCTACTGACGACACGGAAAAACAAAAGTATACAGCGATCATAGGACACAGTATCTTACCTGGCACTCTCGAAAGTGGCGGACGCCGTCTTCCCAATGGCGCCAAAGCCAACGCCGACGGCCAGCCCCTCTGAAAAAGAAAAGATAAAGATGATGATGATGGAAACTTCTGTACAATTCCCAATATTATCAATGTGCATCCAGCCATGAGGAGGTTACACTCTATATAGGAGATATGCCCATCATGTGCCAGGGCCACATTTCCCATAAGGCACCCATGGAGCCGGTCAACATACCATATGTGCCCATAAGGTGCCAGGGCCACATTTCCCACAAGGCACCTATGGAGCCGGACTACATATCATATATGCCCATGATGTACCAGGGCCACATTTCCCACAAGGCACCTATGGAGCCGGACTACATATCATATATGCCTATAAGGTGCCAGGGCCACATTTCCCACAAGGCACCCATGGAGCCGGTCAACATACCATATGTGCCCATAAGGTGCCAGGGCCACATTTCCCACAAGGCACCTATGGAGCCGGACTACATATCATATATGCCTATAAGGTGCCAGGGCCACATTTCCCACAAGGCACCTATGGAGCCGGTCAACATACCATATGTGCCCATGATGTGCCAGGGCCACTAAATATTCTTATCCAATTGGATCATTTTGGTCACATCACATGATCATACCCATACGTGTGTGGCCACCTCCAGTTACATAAACAGAGACATAGATTACAAGCTCCGCCCCAGAGGAACTTACAATCCCATGTTATATAAGAGTGTCATATATGCACCCATTTCATGTCCCCGAACTGAGCCCAGGACCCCGGCGCTGCTTGCCATCTAAAACTCGCCGTCCATCTAAAACTCGTCTGTAGGCTCTGGATTTCGGGCGCAGACATTGTTATTTTACCATCTGCCGCCGGAAGATTTTATTGGCTGGTGACATTTGGGTAACTAGGCGACTCTGGTGGAGATGATTCCGGTCCGGAGTCCCATCACAACTCACCAGAATATGAAGCCATCATCGCTGACATGTGGAGGAAAACTCCCCCCCCAGGGAGGCCGCGGATGAGTCACGCTGAGGGGGACACCTTGAAGTTTCGGCGCGGTGACATAAGGCGCGTTCCGCGCTAAAGCCGTCTAGGGGAGTATGAATCACACAGCAACCCGGGAAGCAAAGGTTACGCTGACCTTTCCCCGGCAATCATCATCCATTCATTAAAGACAGACGGAGGACGCTGGAGGAATTAGCATTACAAACAAGTTCTCTGTGACATTTTCAACCAAATCACAAAACATTTGAAAACGCTCTCTCAGGGAACAAAAAACACTGTACAGCTGAGTATCAATGATATCTATATATCCCAATGTTTTTTAATACATCTTCTCTACTGGACTAATACGGCTTACCCATTTACATTACACTATATATATCTATACGATGCCAAGGGTGAACTTCCCACCGCACACCGTTACATTTATTGATATTTATGGTGTATAAATAACAGAAAAGGCAAAAATGTTCCTATTGCAGTATATTACAGGTATCTGTGGGGACTGTTTGATGGAAGAGCGAACGTTTGCCTGTTCAAATACAAGTCAGCAATGTCCATGAGGTGTACTTACTTTTTCACATGACTCTATGTCATTTTTGATTTTGCAGACGGCCTATTAATTTAAAGGAGAACCCCCTTCCTTAAGGCAGGTGAACCCCCTTGCCTTAAAGGAGAGCTATGAGGGGAGTGATTTCCACTCACCTCATAGCTCGAGCCGACGTGTGACAATGAGACTGTCACAGGTCGGCTCAGTAGATCGGGAGGTGAGCGAACACATACCGGCGCTCGCTCACTTCTCGATCATGTCCCTGCAGAGAGCCGTGACAGTGACTCACGGTCCCCTGCAGGGATTCCCCCGCTCCGATCCTCCAGTGCTGACTGGCGGAACGGACGGGGGAGGGGGCGGGTACAGCTGGCACTGCCTCTAGATAGGCAGAGCCGGCTGTCAATCCCGCAGCTGGGCGGATCTCAACAGCTTATTTCGCTATCACAACGATCGGAGTCAGAATACTGGGAATCCATAGGAATTATTGAGTTCAGGTGTACAAAGCCAGCTCCATACAGACATGGCGTGACCAGTCTGGTGTGGAGGAACTCGAGTGTCATGCCAGAGCCCCAACCTCAACCCTACTGAACACCTTTGGGATGAATTAGAACTCTGATTGGGAGCCGGGTCTTCTCATCCAACACCAGTACCCGACCTCATGGGCAAAAATTCCCCCCTTCCAAAATGTTGTGGACAGCGTTTCCAGAGGAGTGGAGAATGTTGCAACTGCAAATTGGGGTAGAATTCCATATTGATTCCTTTGGTTTTGAAACAGTAAGAAGGTCAGGTGTCCACAAACCTGTGTCCATATAGTGTATTTGCAGTGACGTCACAAAAGGGGTGTGGGGGGTGCGGCCCGCACCCGGGTGACACCACTGCAGGGGTGATAGCAAAATGACTGACAGTCATTTTGGTGTCACCCCCTCTAAAAAGTCGGGCACTTGGCCATGGACTGAGGGCCCAACAGTATCAGGAGAGAGGAGGGGACCCGGCGGAATGAGGTATGAACGTCCCCCTCCTCTCTCTACCGCCGTCCATCAGCAAGATGGCCGCCGGCAGGTGTCAATCAGATGGCCGACGACACTGCGGGGTGTCACCAGATCTGGAGACTGGATAACACCCGGCCTTCGGGACGCCCCTTTGTATTTAGCAGATTCATTGTCAGCTTTTAACCATAAAGGTTTCTTTTCCCTTTGGAGGGTGAAGAGATCTCAGCTTTTATTGTATCTAAAGCCAAGACTGTCTGTGTCTTTGGGGAAGAAGTTAGGGGACGTCCCCTCTTAGTTGTCACTGGAAGAGGTGATTGGAGGTACCAAGCGCTGCGCAAATTGGTGGCGCTATATACATCCTGTATAATAATAATAATAATAACTGAGCTGCACCCTCTTGTGTTAATGAGTACGAGTGCCTAATGATGTGACCACACTGGGTGTATCGTGCACACACGCCGTGCACACTCGTCCCATATGCATACATGAGCTTTGATGGAAGGCTGAAAACTTTTATTATCGCTTTATTCTCTTTAAACCTTTATCATAAAGCAGAGACAGACGGAGAAGTATCTCATCGGGAGTAATTCCACATGACGAGTTCTCTGCTGTAGAGAAAATGGGAAGAATACAGTTGCCTGGAAGGCGATTTCTCCCGCACATTATACTGAGTAATATTCATCATACGGAACGCGACAGGAAAACCTATGACATCATCACAACCCCATCCTTCTGAAGAAGCATTTGCAGCCTTACTGGCTTGAAGCAGACACTTGTAAGAAAAAAATGCAATGCGGCAAATTAAATGTCTGTGCGTCGCAGACTGGGCATTTAGCCACCAAGAAAATGGCTGCCACTAGTTATAAGATACAAGGGGGAGGGCACATGTTCAGTTTTAATTGGTCTAGATCAGCTTATCTCAACCTTTTTATGCTCGAGGAGTCCTCCAAACAGTTTTCAGGTCATCTCAGGAAACATTTTGGGGCTCATGTATAAACCTTCTGCCCAACTGGGTAAAGCTGGGTGAATGCTGTTCGTGCCGCATTACCACCACTAGGTGGTGCCGAGGAGCAGAGAAAATATGCTTTCGCTTTGCTATTAGGCATGTAACATTATGTATGAGACATTAAACAACCAAAGAGCACGGATTGTGATGTCACCGCATGATCGAGCTGCAAAGGTTTAGCAAATGTTGGGGAGCAAGGGTCCTAAACACCCTTGGTTAAAGTGCGCCAGATGCAGAGACCCCGTGCATGACCCGTTAAAGCAGAACTGGAGTGGATCCTCAGCCTGGGGTCCAGTGTGGGCTGCTGTGCTGTGCCGGAGCTCCATCCATAGGTGCATTGCTTGTACAGCTCTCTTGTGCGCCCTGTAGAGGTGCCGGGTGATGTCACTCCGGTCCAGGCACCTCTACAGGGCACGTGAGGGAGCTGTAAGCAATGCATGTATGGATGGACTTCCCTCATGGCCCCATCCCACCTCAAGCTGACACTCGGCGCCGTGGGCAGCATATATTGAATGGCTGCTCGGCGTGAGAACTGACAGTGCTGTGCTAGGGGGGAGGCTGAGGAGCCTCTCACACAGAAAAGTGGAAGGCATGTGGCGACCCACTGAACACGGCCCACCAGTTGAGAACCAAGGCGTCAAAGAGGACGTTCAACCAAAACAACGTCTTTGCTATGATCAGAATGGGAAACCTTATAGCTTCTGTAGCACATTTACTGCTGTGTGGGTCCACGTTGGGGACATTTCCCATCATGTCCTGTTCAAACAACTAAAACATTTTGGATTTCCCCTCATTTGCCGCCTTGCGATATGATATTGGGTTAATTTTCCCTACATGGAAGATACAACAAATCTATAAAGACATTCAAACTCCCCCGTCCAACCCAAAAAGTTTGGCATTCCGCTAATTGTTCTGGATTGGGGAGGGTGACTGGGCAAAGTGTTGCTGAGACTCCCTCACGATGGAACCTCTGATCTCGCCATCCCCAGGGAAGGGCAAGTCAACCCACTGCGCCATCGCAATGGTGAACATACAACAGTAACCCTAACGGACCTCTTGAAGGCTTTGGGGAAGGTCGTGCTGGAATCCTGGGATTGTCCTATTGCTATAGGATAGTGTCGTTAGTCACCTGCCCTCCATACCGTGTTGTGACCTTGCGAGGAGGAGGTGGTGCTCGTAGTGATGACACGGATGGCGCCATGAAAATGTGATGGTCGCTAGCACACAACGAATCATTGTTCCTGTTTTTATGCATTGAACCATCGTCACCGTTTGTCATACACAGCCATTGTTTCGGGGGCCACGCCGGGCCCCTTCCTCGGGGCGATATAGTCGTCCTGAGGATCAATGACTATCTGATCTTCCATTGCTAAAGGAGGTGTAGTAGTATTGGGTATCTGTATATTGGATCTCCGCTCCAAAGGATTTCCTTGGTATGTAACTGAGACGGTCCGAGACTGAAGCCCCAGTCTAAAATGAGATAAAAGACTTTATTGCAAGACCAACGCATTT